AGATCCTAAGATAGATAGATGCGCTGAAGCATTCCCACATGAATTGCAGAAAGTGAACTGTACCAAAACAAATCTGGTAACCACTCCAAATCCAGAAGGTAAGAGGCTCGTTGAACCCTGGAAAAGAGTAGGACCAAGGTTTTTAAACAGCGGACATTTACTTCCATAGAGAAACACAATACAATAAAACACTTTCTGACGTTTCGGCAGCATTGCCTTCTTCAGAGCCTGGAAGGGCATACTGATATACAATCTACTAGGCCAAACGCTACAATAACACTTACAAAAAGACGAAAAACTCTATGGTAACTACATGATCAACAGCTTCTCGAAAAACTCACTGTACGCGACTTCCAATGAGGAAGTTTAGAACAGCTGATTATAGTCGCATATGGTTGATGACTGCACCACCCCACACCAGAAATTAATGAAAACATACGGGGTCAGGTCGCGTATGACCCTGGGCATTCCTCCCTGCTATTCATTGTAGGGTTTTTGGCATATATCCAAAAGGCCTCAAAAAGTTTTCGCACTGGTGCTTAAGCCTCCTGTGCAACGAAATTGACTTTTACTTCAAAATCGTCTCCGTTATGCTTTTGTATCCTATGCGTGCTTAGTGGGGTACTTCGCTTTAGTTTTCGTTTTCCATCTAGGTGTTTTTCTTATACTGATACACAAAGGTCGGCCCGTTTCGCCAATGTATTCATCTCCGCAACTGTTACAAGAGGTCAGGTATATCGTACCTGAACTCATGCAATCACCGTCCCTGCCGTAAGGGCAAATTACGCAATTTGTTGTTTCACATAGACGGTCATATAGGCGGTTACGAACCAATTGACGACGTAGAGTAGCCGGTGGTATTTCAACTATCGCTACCGATTTCTCTAGACCTGCCCTTCTTAAGCATCGTTTTATAGCTACGCTTACTTCATTGCTTATAAAAGGCAACACAAAAGGGACTTCCTTTTGGTCAAGTGTTTCGCGTGGGCTCGTCGTTCTCCTTCTAAACTTATCTCGTGGAGTTACTATTTCGCCATTGGAGATGGCTATTTGCCGAACCAAGTCGCGCGATTCTTCCTTTAGTTCCCTGGTAGTGCACACAGAGGTGGCTGTTTGAAACATGTTTCTCACAGTCCTCCTCTTTGTGTGTAAAGGGTAGGAAGAAAGGAGATGAACAAGAATGTTCTTGTTACTTGGCTTTCGGTACCACTTTGTCAGCTAACTGCTTCTTGATAGGTTTATTTGAACGTCCAAAAACGGAAGCCAGTTTTTTCTCGGTTTCTCCCGGGTGAGATAAAAATCAAGAGGCGGCGGCGCTAACACCATCTCCTTTCCCTAGAACGTTTTTTAGACAGCAGGTCCCTAACGATGGAGTTGACACAAAATTCCGCGTGTTTTCGGACGGCGTTCTCAAGACCCTTGATCACTACTGCGATAGAAAGTTTATCTCTAACCTTACAGCCGCACAAAAATGTGGCATGCGGGAAATTAGAGAATTAATAAACTCGAAATCTGTTAGTGATAAGGGGGGAGAGTTCGTAGTTATCCCTCGCCAGCTGGATGTTGAGATAATAGAGGAACATCTTAGTGATGCTACTCTCTATCACCCATCATCTGCAAAGAAATATAAAAGTCAATACCGAAAGCTAAACAATCAATGGGTCAGTGTGGCAAAGACTGCAGGTTTAAAATCATCGGTCATTTCGCACTTTAAAATCGACAGACCAATATGTCCCGTCCTATACCTACTTATTAAAACACATAAGTTGGTATCACCTGATGATCATGCGTCAACCAATCCGTCATCATTTAAGGTTAGACGGATTATCAGCTGTGTAGACGGGCCAAAGGATAGAATAACCTGGTTTTTAAGCCTAATACTAACCCTGCTGCTTAACCACATTCCAGCTCACCTCACAAACACCCAAATGTTCCTAGAACGTCTACGCAACGCGTCTCCTAATAACGCGTACGTGATGGAGTCTTTCGACGTTACCGCACTGTACACCAACGTGTCGAATGACTCCGCAATGCAAGCCATCTTGGAACTTCTTGTTGAACATGAAGGAAGAATAAATATGCTTGGCTTATCCATCTAGCAGCTAATGGCTCTCTTAAAGGAGTGCCTAAACTGCTCGATTTTCAGATGGTCTGGGAAATATTTCGCACAAATAAGGGGGCTGCCAATGGGACAGCGATTGGCACCAAGTCTTGCCATTGTGTTTATGTCTAAGATAGAAGCCCCTGTTCTCGATCTCCGCCCACTACTCTACTGCAGATATGTAGATGATTGTTTTGTTGTCTTCTCTACGGAGGAGGAGATGGACAAATGCTTTGAATTATTGAACGAGCAGTCCGAGTACATTAAGTTTACCCGGGAGAAACCGAGAAAAAACTGGGTTTCGTTTTTAAACGTTCAAATAAACCTATCAAGAAGCAGTTACCTGAAAAAGTGGTAACGAAAGCCAAGTAACAAGAACATTGTTGTTAATTTCCTTTCTTCCCACCCTTTACACACAAAGAGGAGGACTGTGAGAAACATGTTTCGAACAGCCACCTCTGTGTGCACTACCAGGGAACTAAAGGAAGAATCGCGCGACTTGGCTCGGCAAATAGCCATCTCCAATGGCTACGAAATACCAGCCCCACGAGATAAGTTTAGAAGGAGAACGACGCGCCCACGCGAAACACTTGGCCAAGAGAAAGTCCCCTTTTATAAGCGATGAAGTAAGCGCGGCTATAAAACGATGCTTAAAAAGGGTAAGTCTAGAGGAATCGGTAGCGATAGTTGAAATACCACCGGCTACTCTACGTCGTCGATTAGTTCGCAACCACCTATATGACAGTCTATGTGAAACAACAAATTGCGTAATTTGCCCTTACGGCAGGGACGGTGATTGCATGAGTTCAGGTACGATATACCTGATCTCGTGTAACAATTGCGGAGATGAATATATTGGCGAAACGGGCAGACCTTTGTGTATCCGTATAAAAGAACACCTAGATGGCAAACGAAAACTAAGACGAAGTACCCCACTAGGCACGCATAGGATACAAAAGCATAGCGGAGACGATTTTGAAGTAAAAGTCAATATCCTTGCACAGGAGTCCAAAACACCAGCGCGAAAACTCCTTGAGGTTTTTTGGATCAATGCCAAAAACCCTACAATGAATAGCAGGGACGAATACGCGGAGGTCATACGCGACCTGATCCCGTACGTTCGCAACGATTTTTGATGTGGGATGGTGCAGTCATTAACCATATGCGACTGTAATCAGCTGTTCTAAACTTCCTCATTGGAAGTCACGTGAAAAGCGGTGAGTTTTTTGAGAAGCTGTTGATCACGTATTTACCGTAGTTTTTCGTCTTTTTGTAAGTGTTACTGAAGCATTTCGCCTAGTAGATTGTATATCAGTATGCCCTACGCAACCGAGGATAGGTCTGACCTTGAATGTTGAGGGCTGATAGACACGAGATCATCGTCAGTGGATACGAGTATCTATCAGTATAATAATGCAAACGTTTTAAACACAACTTTATGCTGCGAATAAAGTGATGGTTTGAACTTCTCGCCCTTTGACGCCTTGAGTCATTTCGTGCCCAGTTTGTAGACCGATTTTTAAATTTCTTTTCAGATGAACGGCGATACAGGGAACCGTCTTGAAGGTGTTTTCCTGTTATATCCACGTCTAAGTGACGGCGAATTACTGCAAACTCACTACGTTTATCACTAAATGAAGGTCTAGTAATTGAGAGGAAAACGAAAGGAGTTGCACGGTGTGGCGGTGACCACATTGGCCTCCGGAAAGAGTAATAGCGAGTTTAATATCCACCACAGACACCTGCTGTCCGGGGTTTTGCAAATATCTCGGTATCATTGTGGCTGCATCATCATAATCGCACCATGCACTACCACGAAATAAGAATAGGCAGTAGATAATTAGGTCTAATATAGTCACTACTTTATTAATTGCCTATTCCTTTCCCATGGCAGAGCATGACGCGAAACATTTAAACCTCAATGATGTAGAGATATTTCCAAAACGCCGGACCGCAGGTGTCCGCGGTGGGAAACGAACGCGTTTTTGTACTTTACGGAGAGTAACGTGTTCACCACCACACCGTGCGGATCGTTCGTTTCGCCTGTCTCTCAGCAAGTACTTTCGATCAGTGCTGTCAGCAATCACACGTCAACGGGATTGATCCGGGGAGCCTACAACAGAATCGAACCCAGTTAAGCTGAGGCTGTAGTTGAATTAACAATGTTTACTTTTTATTTCCTGCTTTATATAATTTTTACGGCAGGGTATTAAGCGAAATACGACCACAAAGATTGCTGAGATATTTGCAATGCTCCGGACTGCCGATGTCTGCGGTGAGGAACGAACGTGCTATTGTCTTTTCCGGGGAGTAACGCGTTCACCACCACACCATGCGTTCGTTCCCCGCCGCATGCTACACCTGCGATCCGGAGTTTTGCAAATATCTCAGCAATCTTGTGGTTATTTTCTAAATGGTTTCTAGTTGCTGGAAAGCTTTGGTGAATATTTTGATCTTCCAGCGCAATCCAAGCGCAAAGAGGAAGGCATGCATCTGCGATGTAGGTGACAAATATTCCTTGCTGAATGTTTTTTGTAATGCTCATGACGAGAAAGCCATTACTTCATGCTCAACATAGCTTATGGAAGGGAGATCAAATTAAGCAAGCAAGCCACTCATGTCCCAAGTCTTACTTTAGCAAGCCTTCCCATTCTTTGTGAAAAGCGTGTTAACCTCGACTTCCTGACTACTCAAGGAGCCAATGTAAAGCTCTAGTTAGCGACAGGGGTGAGTTACGTCTTCGCTTCAATTGAAAACATAACACTGAAAAGACAGAGAGTATATGGCGAAACATTTTTGTTTCCACTTGAATACCACAAATGATATGACCACAATATGAGAAAATGTTTTTGCTAGCACTTGTGGACAATAGAGACTAAGGAAGTGCAAAGTGATCGTCTCATGATCCTCGATACGTCGAATAACCATATGGACTAAGCGTCAGCGGTACGTGATAGTGCTGAGCAGCGTTTGTGATGGTGAACACCACCTAAAAGTACTGACATCATGTCGTCATGCGTTTCTAGAAACACCAAGACTACATAGTTGTTTTTGAGAATTAGTTCAATATAAAGGAAAGCTCAGTGCTTGTGTAGTGCGTGTGCACATGGAAACAGAAGTTGGCTCTATATATTCTATATTCTCTATTCTCTATAAAGCCCGAACAGTAAACTATTTGAAAATGAGCAATCTGATTGCTTCCTTGACGCACAAACAAACTCAGGAATGTCCAGCTATTCCTGGCAATTTTTGCTGTTAGTATAATGTTCGCCCACATTACCTCCCTTATGGTAAAGTGCACTTGAGCGGTGAAAATAGCGTGACATAATTTTAGATGGCGACAGTGAGATGAGATCCGACCAAAAGCGACATAGTCTTTACCCGAAGGCGCATGCAGTTTCAAGTGATAAGTTCGTTTCGCTGTTTCTTAGAAGACCTATGTACTCGTTTTTACGTTTTTCTTTGTTCGTCGTAACTAGCACTCATGATATCTGCTATAAAGATAGAGCACTTGTGGACAATAGAGATATACGAGTGGTGCAATGTCTCCGGCGAGAAATAAATCTCAAGTTGAATAAAAAGCTCGTAAAAATAACAACCACCACTACAGAACCTAGTAGACTGCCCGTTGGTGGAGCTAGTGGAGCTCGTTGGAGAGTGCTGACTCTCGGCAAGGAGGAGTGGAGTATATGCAGATATCCACTCAAGCAAATGAATGTTTAATTAACACAGATAAGAGTAAAGATGACAAAGTTCGCTTTCGTATCTTTACACAACACTGCACTGATCAACATATAGAGAGCAACTTTCTACCTCATTTTCAGTTATGTCTGCTTACAGTTTTCGTTTGTTTCCTTCATATAGGGACTTGTCGAATCTATTTTGCTGATTCTTATTCCTGCTTTATCTTTATTTAATCTTATAATGCCAACTTTAATAATACTTCACGATGAAAACAAAGGGAATCCGTCTAGCAGACCTACCTCAATATATGGATAAAATGTTTCAATGCCTAATTTTTGATAGTAGTTGCCAATCATGAACTGCAACTTGTAATTGGCTCTCGTCAGTGCGACATTAGGTGACACCCATGGAACCCGACCGTCAGCTGTCGTTGATCTGCAGGAAAAAGGCGCTTTATATAGGAAGAGGCACCGATGTCGTTGGACGTTAACATTGTAGGGTACTAATTCCCATCAATGTATGCTGGACAGCAAAAAAGAAGACAGTTATGCTAACCGTATGAATATGAAGATTTGATTTTAAAGGCGAACAATTTTCTACGAAATGAAAAGCATTAAATAACTACCATCATTACTATGAAGAACATTACTGTTTTGTGTAATAGAACTCATTGGTATTATTACGGAAGTGTGCCGTAAGTATCTGGAGTAAGTTTGCACTGTTATAGACGTCGACCTAAGACAATCAAGCCTCTCTCGTCCTCATCAAATTGGCACCAGAATCTCCTTGGAAAGGCTATCTTCTATCAACTAATATCCGAAGGATGCTGCGACCGCAGCATAGTCAACAGAGGACTTCAGAGAGAGTCTCTTCAACCGGTATTGAATAGCATTTATGATAAGTGCTGAATTAGCAGTAGAACTGGCAAGCAAAATCCGAAGACTCTGGCAGGGATTGCGGATGCAGCACACCGAAATGAATAGAAGAACTAGTGGGAACAGAAAAAATTTATGTGAAGACAGGCTACATAAATGAAATAAATAAGCAGTATAACATCGGATTAAAAAACGGAAGTCGTAAAAAGCACAACGCTCAGCTTGAAGATCTAGCATAATCTACTTTTCGTAGGGGTGACTGAATGCTTATTTTACCCCAATCAATTTTTTAGGCCTAGTGATATACTATGTTGGCGTTTCGCCTTTCTCTAATAGCCTGGCATCTGTGATCGATTTCGAAGGCAAGAAGAGCTTGGTTTGCCTAGAGTGGGAGATCGAATCAACGACCACGTGAGTATTGTAGGGCACCTCTAATTATACCTCTGCAAAACTTACAATATCTATTCCATAAGTCAGAAAAGCAGTCTAGATAACTATTATTTACGTACCGATTCCCAATCAGTTTCCATTGCCCTCCTTCTTCTACGTAGGCAAGGATTGTGACACCTTCAGCTGGTCGTCCTAGCGAAATATCGAGAATGTGCGTTGAAATTGAAGCCGTTGGTGGTTGTAGAAATGTGGAGACGACCATACAGAAGAACACGATTAATGAATTCTGCTCGTCTGCATAAAGTGGATTGCATAAGAAAGGTAATGCCCCGATACCAATAGGGAAAATGACAAGATAATCTGCAACAAACAAAAGTATGTCAGGTCAAAACTTTAGACGGGTAGAGTAAAAGTTAACGGCGTCTACCACTATAAAGGACGTCGTCCAAAAATGAAAACTTGGCTAAAGTCTGCTCCTCTTCGTATTTCTGAAAAAGTGGTACTCACTTGGCTTAGAGAGTAATCGCAGCATTAGCACACTTGTGTTGAAACGACCATGGATATCTTAATGGCTATAATATTTTAGGATTTATGTTACCAAGGAAACTCATATAAAGAAGCGAAAATGTCAGACGTTGATTACAATTCACCGAGATATTCTTGAATTAAAGCGTCATTTTCTTTTGAATAGGCATTGAGGGGTTGAAAAGAAACATCGATCCAACTTAAGAACGCCCACATTACGATACAGATTTTAAACAGAAGAGAAAGAAAGTGAGAATTGATGAATTGACCAATAAAGTGAACGAACCATTAACAGTGTTGTTAACCTGTGGCCGCGAAAAACAAGAGGCGTTCGCAAATCCGAAAGGCGAATTCCTCAGAAACAACAGTGATACCATTAGTAAAGAATAAACTAATACGTCTTGTCTCCTCGTGAAGAATATAGTGAGAAAATATCCTATTCATAATCCATTATTGTGAACGAAGCTATAGTTGTTCGGAAGATCGGCTTTCAGAAGAGAAAGAAAAAGGAAGCAAGCGATACTGCAGGGACATCAGCTACCGTTGTGTTGGATGTGATTTCTTTTGTCAGGAAGCAAAAATGTACTGAATAACGAGCTCGCTATTGCTGAGAAGAAAACAAGATATGCAAGCTACAGTATTTAGAAATGAATTCTGTATGAAGCTAGTGTTACCGTGGTAAAGGATCCCTTCATAACACTGTGTTCCTGTAGAAAGCTAACCAATAGAATGTTTTCCCGCAGATATATTTACAGTCGCAAAGATACTACGGCGAAGGCACTTTCCATTTAAAACTACTACCTATTTATTACAGTGTTGGCACTGAGTTCAAGCCCATAGTTGCCACGTAGGCGTAAAACTCAGCATGGCTGATATCTCGATTGAAGTGTGTCTCATTGAGCCACCTGCTTATGTTACGCGAAACAATCAAGAAGTTCTGTGCACATCGATTTATATATAGTAGTGTATTATCAGGTTTAGAGCCGTTCAAAACAATCTAGTTAGCGAATTTGTACTAGACTTTTATGGAGAGTTTTTCGGTTCTCAAAGGCCTGAGACTGGTTAGGTGAAGACATAGGAACGCTCTAGAAAAGCTAGACCAGGATTCTAGACAGAATCAATTTGCCAAATATAACTATTATAATGCTGAGCTATTTGTAAAACGCCGGACCGCAGATGTCTACGGTGATCGATAGAACCAGCTGAGAGAAAGGCGAAACGAAGAGCCCGCATGGTGTGGTGGTGAACGCGTTACTCCCCTGAAAGGACAATAGCGCGTTCGTTTCCCACCACATGCACTTGCGATCCGGCGTTTTGCGAATAGCTCATCATTATAATAGTTATATTTCGCAGAATACCCTGCCATTAAAAAGAATAGGCAATAAATAAAAAGGTTAAGAATCAATTTGATCGGAATTCGGCGACGTCTGTGAAGAAGGCAAAATGATCAGATAGCAGCCGGATACGGGCGAAAACCCAGAGACCTTAGTGCATAATTGTTTCAACGACACGAAGCGAATGAAAGGAGTGCTCGTTTCCGCATGGTATAGAAAGGTGTGTCATAGAAGTAAATACATGAATAAATTATGTACATAGTACAGCATGCCGTCTCAATGCTTGGTTTATATCCTTTACTTTAAAGAACAATGACATTTTGCCATAGTGAAGCAGGCGGCGAGTTCTTCAAAAGCGTCAGTAGATCAGAGTAACTCGTATCACATTAATAATGAATGTGATGCATGGTGGCAGCTCGTACAGATACATGAGTGGAATTATTAAGTTAGTAGAGAACAGGAATATCCGTCCTATTTCTGAAGGTTGGTGCCCTTCTTAGACAAAGATTTCTTATAATAGTACCCAGGATCAACTTTCTGTTTACCTCGGCACTGGATGATGAAATCGTCGTTTTCTCTCCCAGCAATCGCGAGGTTGTTGAACAGCATACGTTTACTTCCACAGAGAAACAATACAATACAACAGCAGCTGACGTTTCGGCAGAATCGCCTTCTTCAGAGCCTGGAAGGGTACACTAATACGCAACTTATTAGGTCAAACGCTTCAACAGCACAAACAGGAAGATGAAAATCTGAGCGATAATTACAAGATCTACGGCTTTTCGAGAAAACCCACCGCTTCTTTCGCCTGTCTTCCACCGAGGAAGAACAGCCGCTCAGCGTCGCATATGGTTGACGACTGCGTCTCCTCACATCAACGAAGGTAAGGGGCGAGATCACGGGTGATCTCGGGGCATTCTTCCCTTCCATTCAATGTAGGATTTTTGGCATTTATCCAATAAACCTCGAGGAGTTTGCGCGTTGGTGTTTTAGGATCCCGTGCGAGGATAGCGACTTTTACATCAAAATCGTCACCGCTATGCTTTCGTATCTCTAGGTGTTCTTTTATGCGGATACATAGAGGGCTGCCCGTTTTGCCAATATTATCTCCGCAGTTACTGCAAGAAATCAGGTATATCGTTCTTGAGCTCATGCAGTCATCGTCCCAGCCATAAGGGCCAAAGATTTCTTAATTTTTTGATTCTTCACCTTCATCAGAGCTGACGATCCTTGTCGATAGTCCACAGTTGTTCCTCTTCTCGATGTGGCGTCTTCCTCTCGCTTCGAACAGGGTTTTCCTTAGGTGAGCATCTCGAATGAGCGAACACACCCGGAGATGCTCTTTTATACAAAGCAGTTGTTCCCACGAACGACTTTCTATTAACCTCGCATTGATCAAGTAATTCTTTATATTCTTGTTGAGCAAACGCGAGATGATATTTCATTCTTTATTCAGAAACAAGCTTACGTTTCGGCGGATTTCGCCTTCCGTAGAACCTGGAAAGGTCAAGTTGACCGCAATCTACCCAGCCAAACACTTCCATAACCACAGAGAAAATGCTAAACCAAGATTTCAATCACGTTGAACACAGAATGGCTTCATCGCATACTCACCGCTTTCTATTAGTCTTCCAGTAAATATTTCACGTGGAGACCAACCGCACAGAGCTTACGTGGAAGCTCTCACATTAAAACAACAATCTTAAGTACTGCCAGATATCACTCGTGATAATGAGGCATTCCTCCCTGCGGTTCATTTCCTGGTTTTTACAATTAATCCAGAATACCTCAAAAATTTTGTGCGCTTGTGTTTTACGACTCCTGTGCGAGGGATCGTCACTTCTACTTCAAAATCTTCCCCGTTATGTCTCTGTGTACTATGCGTGCCCAGCGGGGTACATGATTTAACTTTAAGTTTAGCGACTAGGTGTTCTTTTATACGGACGTAGAGTGGTCTACCCGTTTCACCAACGTATTCGTCTCCGCACGTTTTACAGGAGATCGGACAAACTATACCCGAGCACATGCAATCACCGTCTCTACCGTGAGGGCAAATTATGCAGTTTGTCGTTATACATAGACGGTCATACAGGCGGTTGCGAACTAGTTGACTTTTAGAGTGCTCGGTGGTATTTCGATTATTCTAATCGAATTCTCTAGACCAGTCCTTTTTAAGCAGCCCGTTATAGCTGCACTTAGCTCGTATAAGATGAAGAGCGGGATAAACGGGATCTTACTATCGCTAGAGTTATCGTTTAGAGGCTTGGGCTTTCTTCTACACCTGTCTCGAGGAGCTACAGTTTCGTTGCTATTGGATATGGCTGTTTCCCACTCCAGGTTCCAGGATTCTTCGTTCTGCTATCTTCCCGTGCACACGTTGGTTGCTGTTCAAAACATGTTTCTTACAAGCGGCCTTTTCGTGTGAGAGGGGTGAGAGGGGAGATACTCAACCAAGATGTTTTTGCTACTTGGCATTCGGTACCACTTCGTAATGTAGCCGTTTTCCGACAGGCTAATTTGGACATTCAAGAATGGAAGCCAGTTTTCTTTCGGTTTTTCTAGGGTGAACTTGATATACTCTGACTGTGCGTTTAACAATTCGAAGCATTTGTCCATTTCCTCTTGTGATGAGCAAAGGTCAAAACAGTCATTTATATATCTACAGTAGAGTAGCGACCCGAGATCGGTTACTGGTGCTTCCACCTTAGACATAAACGCAATGGCAAGGCTTGGAGCCAGTCGTTGTCTCATTGCCAACCCTCGTATTTGGGCGTAGTACTTCTCGGACTATTTGAAGATTAAGCAGCTCAGGCATTTTTTCAAGAGTGTCATCAACTGCTCTATCTTGGAGCCATACATGTTTATTTCTCCTTCGTCTTGTGTAAGGAGTTCGAATATGGCTCGAACAGCGGAGTCATTCTACACGTTTGTATAAAGGGCGGTAATTTCGAAGGACTCTATCACGTACGCACCGTTGAGCTGAGCAATACGTAGACTATCCAGAAATATCTGGGTGTTCGTAAGATGGGCTGGAATGTGTTTCAACAACTGGGCCGATATTAGTGTTAAAAACCGCGTTATCCTATCCGTTGGCCCGTCTACACATCTGATAGGTCTAACCTTAAATGATGATGGATCGGCAGACGCAAGATCATCGCTGGATACTAACTTATCAGTTTTTATAAGCAGGTGCAAGATGGGACGTGTTGGTAAGTCAACTTTTAGTTGAGAGATAACTGATGGTTTCAATCAAACCAGCAGCTCTTGTCATTTTGACCCATTCGTGGTTCGGGGGCCTCATTATCACGCGTGATATAGGGCAGTATATAAAACTGCTTTTCTGATGTGAGGGGCACATTATACTTCCACGTGATTTCTGTGCGGTTGGTCTCTACGTGACATA